ACCTAGTGGTTGCAAGTGCTTTAGTAGCAGTATGTTCAAATTTCCGTGAGAACGAATCTAGGCTGGATTAAAAAAGACTCTTCGGCAAAGTCAAAAAGTTAACTAGAGTTCGGGAATGGTTGGCTCTTTGGGGCCAGTTGGCTCTTTGGCCCAGTTTGGTTGCCGAAATTTTTGGCAAAATGACACTGTAGCGTTTTCGTTGTTATTTGGCAATTAGTGTCCAACCATAGTCTAATTAGGCTTAAAAGATTCGTCTCGTAGATTTCGTCTAAACTGTGTAATTAGTTTTATTTTTTATTTATATTTAATGCTTCATGCATGCGTCCAAAAATTCGATGTGACCAAGAATCTTGTAAATTTTGGCATTTTTGAAGGAAACTAAACGGGGCCGGCTTTAGGATGTGGAAAAAAACCAAGAATGCTCGGCCAGATTTCGCACATGTGAGCGCAGCCGAAGAAATCGGCCTGCGGCGACTACCTTTCTGTGCCATGGCAACTACGTCGGCGAGGCCTCTTAGCTTCAATCATTCAGCCTGTTCACTTATTGGTTTCAGCCAGCCCAAACCAGTCAGTCAACAGTGTTTTTCTCTCACAATAAACCAGCCCAAACCAGTCAGTCAACAGTGTTTTTCTCTCACAATAAACCAGCACCAGCCAGCCCAAATCAGTCCAAAAATCAACCAGCGAACAGGCCGATTGTACCAGCCACGACAAGAAAGTTAACTGAAGGTCCATGTCAGTTTCATGCTAGGTTCACAAGGAAGGAATCCAACGGCTGCATCCAGTTGGCGACGTGTTTGCCCGCTTTCTGTCTTTGTTTCCATTTCTGCTTTGCCCTTTCACAAAGCTCCGAGGTCTTACTCAACATTAGGGAATCAAAACTAACACTTTTTTATTAGGGAATCAAACAAACTTTTTTTCCTCTCTTCCTCGAGATTCAGATCTTGAGATATGCTGCAGAAAACGACATGTTCCTAACGATTTTTTTTTTATTTTTAACATTTTTTTAAACTAATTTTAAATCTAACACTGTTTTATTTTTTTTTCAAAACTAACACTTTTGTCCGCGCCTATTTCCCTGGCGCGGCGAAACGTCTGTGCCGCGACATGCATGGTGGCGTGGCGAGAGGATGACGTGGCGACGACCGAGACGCTGACCGGTGACGTGGCAGGGTCTGCCGCGCCATCCCTCACGGCACGGCAGCCCCTGTAAATATCGCCATGAGCCGCCGCCCTCCCTCTCGCGCCTTCGCCACCGCCGCCGCCGCCTGGCCACTGCTCACCCCGCCGCGCCGCTTCACCGCGCGCCGCCACGGCCGCTGCCCGCCGACGCCACCCAAGACGCTGCATCCGCCACACGCAAGACGCCACACCCTGCGCCGCCATTTAACACCGGCACGCCACTCTCCGCGCCGCCCACGCGCGCCATCGCCACGCCATTTAACGCCGGCGCGCCACGGCCGCCGCCGCCAACAGACACCGCCAGCTACCAAGACGCCACCACCACACGACGACGCCAAGACTACCACAACAACGACGCACACCGGAAGCGAGTAAGATTGATTAAAGTCCTAATTAAGTGCTAATTTCAGTTCAGGTGTTCCTGTAATTAGGTTAATTAAGATCTTGTCTAAGTATAAGTTCTAACAATCGGTATCCGAGAAGCCGCTTAGCCTAATTCTTGAACCCTAAGACCTAATTAGTGTTTGGTTAAGATCTAAATAGCCTCGGATTTGTCCGATTCAAAGTTCTTTAAGCCAAATCAGAATATAGGGTTTCGCTTAAGCACCGAGAAGGAGGGGAGTCGAATCAACTTCAACACTAAGCCCTAGTTTTTGCCCAAATCCGAACCCTAGGAATGCAAATTACCCAAATCCGGTAACAATCCCCAACTCTAAGATCAGTAAGACGCTTTTCACTTACCTTCACGAGTTCGTCGGCGGACACAAAAGGGAGCCACACCGCCACCCTACTATGTGCACGCGTGGTCTCGACCCCAAAGTGAGCAGATCACCGCTGGGGCATCAAGAAACCATGCCGCCGCCCTATTCTTTGTGTATGGTACAACTAACAATCGTTTTGTTGCAGGTATGACCGCAGGAAGAGGTACAAGACCAAGGATTGGTGCGTGACACACAACGTGTACATCCAGTTGTGGTAGACTAGGGACCGGCAGCCGGTCGATGCGGGTCCCCCACACGACCAGCACACCTTCGACCAGTACCTGCGGTGGCTTCACAGGTCTACGACGACACATATCAAGCCCCCGTACACTGAGGAGGCGATTGACGAGGATGACGAGGAAGATGTGATCGAAGATGTATACGACGTTGCCACTAGGGACGACACACAACTACAGAGAGCCCCGCTTCAAAGATACGTGGTAAGATATTCAAATGGTATAATTTGTTATCCATTTGGTATTAAGTATGTGTATTAAAACTGTCCAACCGCGTTTCTGTACCCAGACGACCCAATTGTCAAGGCTGTCCAACGAAGCAGCGTTTCGGCTTCACGAGTCTAGAGGGCAGGGGTCAGGCGTTCTCGAGGCTTTTGTGGAGGTAAACATAAACTTGTCCGTTCCGAAAATGTTTCTTTAGTGCATATGCGTTTGTGAAATGCACTAACTTTAATGTCTTCATGCAGAAGGTGAAGCGGAGCTGCAGGAAGCTAGCTCAGAAGTTGAGCTGCATGGACACTCCTTGAGTGGCACCTGATTACCCGGCGTGGTCGGGTGCCATGTCTTCTGGCTCTGTGAGGACACCAGCCGGCTCTTCTCAGCCGGTGACAGGTGCCGCTTCCGCTGTGCGTACACCACCACATTATAGCGCTGGGAAGGACCCTGCAAACGAGGACGGCGAGGACGACGATGACGACGACAACGACGACCCTTGGTAGCAGGACGAGATTGGCATGTCTCAGCTAGGTAGTGTCCCGCTTGGTACCTAAGGAGCCTCACAGGTAGTAACAAAGATAGTTTCTTTAAATACGTAGGCTCCATGAACTAACGATCATAAAGATTATAAGTAATCGTGCATATCATATACTTGCAGGGTACGAGCCGTACGCACCGACAACACGACCACACCGACGTTGGCTACTCCCAATATGTTGCCTACAAATCCGAAGAGACAGAGGTGTCCGAGGGATCCTTACACTCCTGGGACTTACTTGGTTATGTCGGACTTATGTCGAACGAATATTGTCGTCCGAAACTTACAGACTTAGTTGGTTATGTCGAACTTATGTCGAACCAATGAAAATATTGTGGCAACTTGTCAACTTACGCACGGACTCCATTTATTTGCTTCATATTCGTTTCAATGCGTCACGGCAGCACTTGTAGTTGTTTACAGCACCGACAACAGCTCCCGTTCAATTGCAATTGAGGCTGGTCGGCTTCTGTCTGCGTCCAGGTTCTGCTGCGCCGTGGGCCTTGGCGCATCAGTGCTGCGTCGTGGGCTATGGCGTGGCAGAACCTGCCACGTCACCGGTCAGCGCCCCGGTCGTCGCCACGGCATCCCCCTCGCCGCGCCACCATGCATGGCGCGGCACAGGCGTTTCGCCGCGTCAGGGAAATAGGCGCGGGCAAAAGTGTTAGTTTTGGGGAAAAAAACAGTGTTAGATTTAAAATTAGTTTACAAAAAGTGTTAAAAATAAACAAAAAATCTTCCTAGCAGCCTGAGAAAGGTGTTGGCCTGTTGGTTTCAGACGAACGAACTGAAACTGATCTCACTCGGCTTTATTTTCTTCAGAAAATCTACACAAGCTCTGCTTGGTAAACCATGTAACTTCACCCAAGGAAAAAACTTTAGCCAGTACCTTTCATTGATTCAGATTCTTATTCTAAGATTAGAGATAATGTAACAGAAAAAGAGATGTACAGTACAGTACATCAAATCAAGATAGTGTAATGAGATCATAGGCTGATCCGAGCATAACTGCATATTCCCGGACTCCTGGTTTTACGTCTGGTGCAGCTCCTATCTATAGTCCCAGCAGATTACATAAGCTCAGTCTCAGTCAATAACTGTGCCTTCCCCCATGATCTGGATTAGAACTGCAAACGTATGCGGAAGTTGAAGTTTTTTGCCTGGCTTTTACTCAATGATCGATTGAACACTAGAGACATCTTGAGTATATATATATATATATATATATATATATATATATATATATAAAGAACTCTTCCTGGAGTCTGGTTATCAATGTGTGCTTTGCAGTGACGTTTTCATCTCTTTTTTCAATATATAGTACAAGCATTTCTCGTTGGTTCTCGAATGGGATACGGTGGGACACTGATCTTCAGCCAATAGCCATGATGCAGCAAGCAATGTCTCGCCTCCACAGATCATCGAAGTTTACATCATTGCCTCCATAGACCTAAATCTGAACTTCATAGTTCTATTATTATGGATTGGCTCAATGCTTTGTAATTTTGTTTTCTTGGAGTGAATTGTGGCGTCGGCCAATTTCTAACCTCAGTGATTTTCTTTTGTTTACTAAAGTTCAGGGGATTCTTCCCCAGTTTCGTTTCCAAAAGAGGAAGCAACAAAAGCAACAGGAACAGGGCGGCAACTGATGACTATGGTTGACATATGATATGCTTATATTGAGACCGTCATTCAGGTTAAAACGGCCTACAACACAAGACAGCGCACCACAATCATCATACAGTACAGAGCTACTACCAAAACCGATATAAGAACATCGTCCGCATAAGACCCTCTGCATATTTTACAGGTATGATCTAGAGCTAGAACTTGAAGGATCAAAACGCAAACAGAAAAGAACAATAATAAATAGGGCTCGCGATTATTTCTTTCTGCCTTCCCAGGGATCCATCTCCAGATGTCCTTGCTACTGCAAACCCAGCATTTTGCCCTGAGGGTTCATGGATTGGGTCCACGACAATCACAATCTCTACTGTGATACTCATTACCCAGCTGAACCTGGCTTAGGATATCCATAATTTTATACCTGTTATTACTTCTAAGAGTCTATCGTGAGTTCTTGTCGCCAAAGCCACCAAAACTACCTGAGCCAGAATTACCAAAACCGCCACCGAATCGACCTGAACCAGAATCACCAAATCCACCAGAACGACCAAAACCAGATCCACCACCACTTGAGCGACCAAACCCTGAGTCACCGAATCCTACATCACCACCTGACCGGCCTAATCCTGAGTCACCGAATCCTCCACCTCCACCTGACCTGCCAAACCCTGAGTCACCGAATCCTCCACCACCAGAACGGCCAAATCCTGAGTCACCAAATCCACCGCTTGAGCGACCAAATCCAGAATTGCCAAATCCACTTCCGCCGCCACCCGATCGGCCAAAACCACCACCCCCACGTCCACCAAAGCCCCGTGAGCGCCCATAGTTTGAACCGCTATACCCTCCACCTCCGAAGGAGTCAAATCCACCATCCAGCAAGACAGATCCCTCGACATTAATTTTTGGAAGCTGCGAGACAAAGGAAAACCAAGTGAGCACAATGCAGTGGTGATAACATCCAAAAAAAATGCACAGCGCTCAGCATTGTACAATGCAAACCACAAGCCCCCACCTCTGTAAACTTGCATCCAACGTCACGTTCAATGACCCGTACAGCTCTACTTTGTTCATAGTTGTATATCACAATTGCAGTGCCCTTCTTCCCAGCACGTCCAGTTCGGCCAGATCTGTGAACGAACATCTCTGACGAGTTTGGCAATTCATAATGTATCACCTGGACAATGAGAACCACATGAGGGGTAGAGAAGAGATGATGCACATGGTGATTACAAAAATGAAGGAGATAACTTAGAAAAGGGGAAGCACAAACCAGATCTACATTTGGGATATCCAATCCACGAGCAGCGACATCAGTGGCAATTAATATATTAAACCGCCCATCTCGAAATCCTGCCAGTGTTCTCTCTCTTTGGGATTGAGAGATATCCCCATGAAGAGCCTCACATTGGAAACTTCGACTCATATTGTGTGACAATCTATCTGCATCCCTTTTTGTTTGTGTAAAAACAATGCACTTACCACCTTTCGCATGTTCCTGCATGAACAAATAAATTGCTAACGTGTTCCAACAAATTAGAAGAAAAACTAGCCGTCACTGGGAAAGAATTAAGTTTTAATGGGACAAATATAATAAAACCTAATCTATATTGACCTTAATCAATTCCCCAAGGACAGCTGGTTTTTGACGGTTCTCCGAAGAGACAGAGAGCAGACTAATTCCTTCAGGCAGCTTCTGGTCATCCTCACCAACCTAGAAAGAAACAGTAAATCAATTCCATGTACTAGCAAATAATTTCTTAACAGAGAGCATAGAGGAACAATCTGCCTATAATGAAATCGTTCATCAGAGAACTATGTGCAGCAACCAAATGACATTTAGCAAAGGCAAAGTTCAACAAAGCGCAAGAAACAGACAAACTAATGCACACACAATAGGCAACTTTAAATTGGTCGTTTTCAGGTCAACAAATATCATTTACACTTCATGGATTCAGTAATAATGTTTGCAGGTTTTTGCTACAGTAGGCTACAAACACTATTAGACCAATTTTCCAAATCTGTTTGACCCTGGTTGAGGGCTACCACTGCATATCTTTGATGCCATCATGATTTTCTTAGCACATGCTAAATTTAGTATTCAAACTAAAAGCTCTCCTTGTAATCTTTGGGATGAACCTATCCATATAACTTCTCCACAACTAAATCCTCTAACTAGTGTACTTAATGATTGGGAAAATTTTACAGGATGAGCGGCTTGCAGTCATACAATATTTTAGACCATATTGAAACAAAAGAATTTACTAGATCAACTGCATGCATTCTCGGGCATAATTTAGGGCCAGATGTAGCAAATAAAAAAGATTCAATGAGCATAACTTAATAGCACTTCCAAAGAAGGGACTCAATCAATCAAACATAGTCAAATTGGACAATTTAGTTCCCAATCTAAAGAAGCAACAAGATCCTACAAACTATGCAATATACAAGTCCAGAAATGGCTCCACATCTTGTTCATCAAAATTCAAGTTACGAAGTCAAGCAATAAATGTGTGCAAACAAAAGTTACACGAGAAGTTGGCACTCACAAGGTCTACTGTAACAGGACTGTTGAGGTACTTCTGTGTGAGCTTCCGTATCCATGTTGGCATTGTTGCAGAGAACATCAATGTTTGACGCTATGGAGGCACTCTCTCCAAAATTGTCTCAACATCTTGATCAAACCCAACAGACAACATCTGGTCTGCTTCGTCAAGAACAACAAATCGGATCTCTGCCAAACTCAGAGCACCTCTTTTAGCAGATCAATCACGCGTCCAGGTGTCCCAATGACCACATCAACACCGTAATTAAGTTTCCTTATTTGCTGCATAATCGGAGTCCCTCCATATACACACAGTGTTTCCAAGGGGGAGGAATCAAGGAACTCCCTCTCAACCTGTTTTGCAAGTTCTCTTGTTGGCGCCAAAACAATAGCCAAGGGAAACTTACCAGCCCTGTAAAATCAACAATAATTAAATGAAAGATGAGAATGGACCAAAAAAAGAACAAATAAAAAATACTTTACATGTGTACATTGTTAAAAGGAACCAAGCTTACGTGTACTTCTCATTGTGGCGGATAATTGCATCCAATATGGGGATTCCAAATGCCAAAGTTTTACCAGTCCCAGTTTTGGCACGACCAACCATGTCCCTTCCTTGCATTGCTGGCTCAAGGACAGCTCTCTGTATAGGTAGAAAAACAGAACGCAAAGTTTACTATCAAATCGGTACCAATATGAAAGAATCACCTTCACGTCATACATATGAGATCCATCGAATTGCAAGGCACTCCTTTATCATTTGTAATATGGCACCTAAACATAACTAACACTAGCAATTCTTGACATGGCCAGAAATGTGTAATTTTGGAACTATTTGCGGCAGTACATAAGCAGTCAAATTACGACCAATGTGAACTTGGTAAACAACACTACACTTTTCTCAGTTATATGAGCAGAACAAAGCAAAAGGAGAGCAATCTTCTCATATTATAACTATATATATGAGCACCTTGATCTCTGCAATCACTAATCAAGCATTCAATTCACCTATATAGTCCTAATGTCCACAAAGCAGAACAGGACAAGCAGTTTGACATATGGTTCCTCTTGGACCAAACGAAAGGTAAAGGTACAGATTCCAGCGCTCCTCGTTACCTGGATGGGGAACAGCTTGGTGATGCCCTTACGGGCGAGCCTTTCGACGATCTTGGACGAGATCCCGAGCTTGGCAATCTCGAGCCCCTCCGCCGCCGCGCCCCCGGTAGCCGGCGCCCTCTTATCCTCCTCGTAGAACGACCCTTCCTCCGCCGCGAACTCCGCGCGCGCCGCCGCCCCTGCGGGCCCCGTCTCCCGGAACCCGAGCCACGCCGGCGAGGAGTGGAACCACGCGGCCGCGGCCGCTCCCGCCGGGAGCGGCGGCGGCGGCGGCCGCGGGGCCACGGCCGCGCCCAGGGCCGCCGGCTGCTGCTGGAGCAGCGGGGCCGCGAGCGCGAACACGGCGCGCCGCCGGAGGGGCGCCGCGCGGCGGAGGACGGCGTACATGGCTGGCTGTACCACTTCCGCTTCTGCAGCGGCGGTGGCGGCGGCGGCGGCTAGGGTTTAGGGTTTTAGGAAGGGGGCTGTGGGAACGGGAGGGGACGGACGAAGCGAGACGAACGAGAAGGGGAATGGGTTAAATGGCGCAGGCGTCGCGTCGGAGATATTTCTATGCTCACGTGAACGGCTTGTGCGGAGTACCTACACTCGTCGCTGGTGACGCTTACACGTGGGGTCGAGAATGCGCCTGGATGGTGTGGTCCGCATGTCAGTGTTTGATGAATGGTAGCTGGTATATCACCGTCTGTGTGAATTGTAGCGAGCGGAGTGCTTAGTGGTGTTGAGAAGGGCCGGGTGGCCCATGAGGTGAGTAGAGTATGACATGTGGGGAGGGTGGAGTGGGGTCAGTGTGGCAGTTGGGTGCGGGTAGTGATTGCTGTGGAAAGGAGTATTGCTTGGAGGAAAAGTTATGGCGGTTGGGTTACGGCGATGGGCTGCGTTGATTGTTTTGGCAAGTGAGCAGGGAGTCTGTGATAATGGGCCTCCGCAGAAGTTTCAGCCCGTCTGGGTTGGTCCTTTATGTGTGCGTGTGTGTGAACGGCCCGATCCCGAGTGATCTATTGGGCCCTTTTTATGTGACCACAGGAATGGTGGGTTTGGCCCTTTACGTGTGTGCGAGAATGGCCCGAGTGACGTATTGGACCCCCACAGGAATTGGGTTGGCCCCTTTCTGTGTGTGTGAATGGCCCGAGTGACCTATTGGGCCCTTTCCATATCACCACAGGAATGAGACCACATTCAATTCAACGTTTCTCCAGCACAGCCCACATGCTGCTGCACAAAGAGAGTAACCACTTCACTCACTGTGCATTTGTCTCGTCACTCTGAATCTCCCGCCAATGGCCTGAAATGCGATTTAAAACATGCGCATATGCAGTCCTCCGTCCCAAGGAGGATCGAATTCTAGGTCTAGTCCAAATAAAAGTATCTTAATTTCGACTAGATTTATAGAAAATGATGTCAACATTTATGACTTGGAATAGTTATACTACGAAAATACATTTCACAATGAATCTAACTATAGGTATCAACTATGTTAAGCACTATTAGTATCTGTTTATACAAATTTGGTCAAACTTAAAAGAAGGTTTGACGGAACACTATTTTAGAATTGCATGTCCGTTTTGACCGAACATTGGTTTGAAAAATTCCAGAGTTTGTTGGATTTACTAACAAGTTGGCCGGCCCCATTCAATTGTGGTGTTTTTTTTTTTGCCATGTTCGCTTCTTTTATAATCCGTATTTTTTAACTTATTTTTTCAGCCGAAACAATATTTTTCTCTTACAATAAATCAGCCGGAATAATATTTCAGTTTGTTTTTTTTCAGCGAAGCGAACGGGGCCTCTGTGTTTCGCTGGTACAATACTACTACGATGGCATTCACACTCGTCACCCTGGGCATTCGGTCAGACCGAACCGATCGGTTCGGTTCCTCGGTCATTCGGTCAGTTCGGTCATCAGAAACCTGGGACCGATCGGTCTTTGCAAAAAACGAAGACCGAGGAAGTTCGGTCTCGGTTAGTTCGGTTCGGTCTCGGTCACGACCGAACTAACCGGACCTAAGTAGCAGCCACAAACAATAGCAGAATCTATAGCAATTTTCAACAGCATGCTTGCTATTTGAAGGCAAAAAAATAACAACACAATATATAAAACAAATCACACATTATTATGACAAGTTCTAGCACACAACTTTCTCAGTTCTCACAAATCACAATCACACATAATGACATTACGAACGAAGTCTACAGAACTACGGTCAGTTCGGTTACTTCGGTTAACCGATACATATGACCGAACTTCTATCGGTTACTTCGGTTAGTTGGGAGCCAGGACCGAACTCATGACCGAACTTTTCGGTCTCAGTCTTTTCGGTCTCGGTCTTCGGTCTTCGGTTATTTATGCCCAGAGTTACACACTCGGGACTCTACTAGTAGAGAAAGAAGAGCCGAGCAATCTAAGGCGACTTGCTCGGACAACACTAGTGTAGAATTTGACAGGAATATAGTATAAAATTCGCGAGAAAACAAATTTAAAACTCTCTCCTTCATTCACACAGCAAAAAAAGGTACGTGCTACGGAAGGAGCCAAGCTCTGCTCTGGACTTTTACCGGCATTTTGCCCTTCTGAATGGTCCGATCTCCAGCCAATCATTTGCGGCAGCACGCAGTAGGTTAGGTGCCTGATTGCCTGATTTGCACGAGCTTTAATTCGAACAAGGAAGGAACGAACGAAAAGGCCAGCGCCAGCGAAGAGGATGATGCTTTTTCTGCTTCCAAAATGTGGATGCATGCTTCCAAAGGCCGAAGGCGGCCCCGGAGGAGGCCAGGACGACGGATCTTGTTGGACACCTGAGCTGGCGCGGCTTTCCTTGCCTGCCGCCTTGCCTTGTCGTCGTCGTCCGATCCTTCACGGCTTCTGGCAAGGAGCGATCTGCAGCAGTGCTTCAGATTCAGACATGGAGACTGTCAGTGAGGCCAATGAAGCAGTGCTGCATCTCCATGAATGCCACTATTCGAATTCTGGGCGCGTTTAGTTCCGGCCAAAGTTGACGCCGTCGGATTTCCAGTTGCACTGTAGCGCACGGTAGCATTTCGTTTGTATTTGGTAATAATTGTCCAAACATTGACTAATTAGGCTCAAAACGTTCGTCTCGCAAAGTACAATCAAACTGTGCAATTAGTTTTTAATTTCGTCTACATTTAGTACTTCATACATGTACCGCAAGTTTAATGTGACGTGAAATCTTCTTTTTGCATAATGACAAATTCAGACGCTGGACTGAATCGACCGGCCGACCACTGTTGGCCTGAAAAGCAGGACCTACTGGAGCTACCACTTCAGCTACTGCTAGCTACCACTGTCCACTACCATCGTCAGTTCAGTGTCGAGCGTTCGTTAGCAGCAGCTCGCGCGCGCAGGACCGGTTCTCGGTTCCTTGCGGTGCAGGAGCCTGATGAAAAGAATGAAGAAAGCAGAGCCAAAGCTTGAGGTCCACTAGCCTGAAAGTACTCCGATCCAGCGTTGCTTTTTTTTTTCTGCCAGCTCGCGAAATGCTCCGGGCTCGGTTTCAATTTGAAAGTTTCAGAGCGGTTTGAGCTTCGAACCCGGGCGCGCGGCGACCTTTTGCGTGCCGGCAGGACGACGCGCGTGAAAGGCGCCCAATCATTCATTCGCCCCGATCCTTCTTCAGACAATCATCACTCAATCATCATATCAGGGCTTCATTCATTACACTGCTGCTGCTGCTGCTTATAGGACTTGTTCACTTTGTAAATTTTTTGAACCCGATGAATAGTACCACTTTCGTCTTATTTGGCAAATATTGTCCAATCGTGGACCAACTAGGCTCAAAAGATTCATCTCGTGATTTCCAACTAAACTGTGTAATTAGTTATTTTTTTACCTACATTTAATACTCCATGCAAACGGCTAAAAATTGATGTGATAAAGAGAGAGTAAAAAAACTTGGAATTTAAACAAGGCCCTAGTACCAATAGCACCACTGGAGCTGAAGATTTCTTTGCCGTACCGCGCTCAAGGGTGCAATGACGTATACTGACCGCGGCTTCGTAGTATCTGTTTGGTCTGAAACTTTTTGCATGAGCTACCGAATGAATTCGAGTCAGGCAGGACGACTCAAATACTAGCAGAATAGACGATTCATCCCTCTGACGACTCTCTCTCCTTCCTTGCTACTAGCTTGCTGGCCTGCTGGCCTGATCTGAACAATGGATGGATGGCTCTGAATTCCTGGAAAAAAGTGCGTCCGTGTGCCGCCAAAACCTCATCCCTCCGGGACAGACGAGACGGGACCACCACTGAATTCGAAAACCAGAGCCATTCATGTCAAGACGAGAAGAAGAGGAACAGGAAGAAGAAGAAGAAGCACGTGGAAAAGACTGAAGAGGAGAGCCGAAACTAAAGGAGGGTAGTAGTAGTAGTAGGTTGAAAGATGCAGCATGAGTGCCCGTTCCGGTAAGGTTGGCGTTATTTGTATATATGTTGTCAATGCAGCTCTTTCGCTTTTCATGCATTAACATCATTGATCGGCCTCGAGTTCATCATGAAAGGCGATCGAGGCCGTGGCAATAAGGAAACACAAGCTAGTACTAGTACTAAAACTCAATAAAAGTCACTGATGATGAACCTGAGTTGGAGGACAGGAGCAGGAGGTAGCAGGGATTTGACACCTTTTATATATATATAGTATTTGTTTTCCCTCGAGTCAGCTCGCTCTCGCTCATAGCAGCTAGCTTTATTTGCTTTACACTTGTCTCCCTTTCATGGGGACAAGTGTAACTACTGCTGCATGCCATTGCTTTCTTCCTCCTTGGTCATCAGTTTGTCGTCCAGCTCCCACCACGGCACGCATGGACCAAACCAATAGTGTTTCTTCAGCATTTCAAATTCTGCCTGCCCCCAAGTGTTCCATGTTCTGATACGCTTTTGCATTCAACATGTTTGGCCAGCCAGGCAACAATTCCAGACCGTCCATTTTGATCGCCGGCCCAATGACGACTGAGACGCCACCCAATGCATGCATGCCCCCTTATAGGGTCTAAGCAAAGGAACAACTAACATAAATAGTGAACAGCGGCACAATCGATCGAGTTCGTTGCGTTGTTGGTGTCCAAATTTAAAAGGACAGGTGCCTAGAAAGACGAGAGCTGTCAATCACAGATCGAGTACCACTACTACTACCACTCATCACCATCATCATCATCATCTTCTTCTTCTTCTTCAATTCAGTGACCGGTGTGATCTGTCCAGTATCAATGCACGCATGATATAATGCAGCTGGAGCTGAAGATTTGCTTGCCGTACCACTCCGGCAAAGGTGCAATAATGTATAGCTGTCCGCGGGTTGATATCGATCTGTTTGGTCTGAAACTTTTTGAGCTACCGAATGAATTGAAGTCAGCAGGAAGGAGGACTCAAAGTA